TTTGTATTAACAAATTGTTGAGCACCATATACAACAAGACACAAGTAAGAAGCAGTGCTAACACCAGAAGCACAATGAGTTTCTTTGTACCATTTTTCACAGTCGAGAGATTTTGCCTGCTACCTGATGCAAACATTACTTACAAGGATGCAACAGGGACAGAGGTTGATGCAGTGACCTTGTTGGACAAGGCAACGTGCTGTTAACAGTGTTCTCCGGTGATGGTGAGACTACACACTAAAAAGTATAATCAAGCACTTTACATTCAATTGAAGAAATTATTTGATGTTTTCTTTTTCTTCAGTATTTTTGGACCTGTCTTCTGCTTCTGAGTTGTCTGACTCCAACTCAAGCTTCAGCTCATGTGCCTCAACTATTATCTTAGATGAGGTCTCATGCAAGAGACAAAGAATTAACAATACTGCTGCAGTATCTGCTAAACAGGTTGCTACAAAGCTTCACACTTGTGCTTTGTTTTTTTCCTCTCAAGTTTCTAGAAAGATTCCTTATTGCCAGGTTTTTCTCAATGTTCATTTTTCTATTTTTGTTTGTTTTTCATTTTTAAGAGTTAATTGAAACTGTCTTAAGAAGCAAGTCTGGTGGTGACAAAGTAATACAGGAATACCAAGCAACAAACACCATGAAGGATGCCACAAGATGACAAATGGTTAACATACTTGTGGCTCACATGATTGATAATCATGGGTATGTATTCAGTGTATGTTGTGTTCTTTATACTTGTGCCCAATAAATGCATACAAATTGTCTAAATTTAAAAAACTGAAAATCTCCTCTCAGGCACCTTCCCCCAAAAGCAATCAGAGAGGAGTATCTCTTTGGGCATTGTGATGCTGATCCCCTCGCTCAAGGAGCCATACGCAGACAAAGTAAAAGTCAATATTTATACAACACAAAATTATTTAATGATGGACATAAAAATTATCTGATATTTTGTTATGAGCTAAATCTGACAAAATATGTTGTGTTTTCACTTATCCAGGAGCAGCAAGGGGTGCAGGATACATTTCTTGGCGTATGAAAACTGTCCAAAGAAAGATTCGGCGTGGATCTCCAACACCACCTAATAGGTTGACAGACAGTTCTTCAGGTGGCCCAAATCTCCAAAGGACTGTGAATGTTATACACCAGCTTGATGGGGATGCTTGCAAGGAGGCCAGAGTTGCTTTGCTTGATGCAGTCAGCAGAAGGTCATCCAGAAAATCATCAAGATGATTCTACAAGTGAGTTGTATTTTTTTAATATATATATATTAAGGGTTAAAGCTGCATTCAGGGGCACATATTCATTTGTTTCTGTGTTTTTTAACATTTAAATTCATAATTAAGACAAATTAAATATTTGTTCACTTTTTCTAGTTTTGCTCTTAGAACATAATATAAAGTCAAACAAAGCATTGTCTGTTTTGTTTGTATGTTCATCCTGAACTAATAATCCTATAGATTTTTCTTCTTCTTGTGTATCTCTAAAAATTGATCTACTTTTGATAACTTTCAGCAATAGATAGAAGACTCATAAGTCTCTTAACTTTTCCCTGTTTTCATTGTAAAACAGATCAGTCACTTAATGAAATGGTATTCATTTTGTGTCTTTTCTTCTTCAGCCTTTGAACAAGAAATGGCATCGCTGTTGTTGTTGTTACATCTTCTTCCGCCACCACCAGGAGGACAAAGGTCTCCAAAAATCAGCGCAAGTGATGCAAGTCAGAGACTCGTAGTCTTTTATAAGGTAATTATATCATGAAATTTCAATAATATGAAAGTCTTTGAGCAATCTCTTCTACATTTATTTATTTTTTTCTGTATTTGGACATCATTTCTGTGAATAATTTTCAGTTTCCTTATGTCAACCCCAGTCATGCTGCAGTCTGGAAGAGCATCTCTGCAATCAAAAGGGTTGGCAACCATACTGCCTCGCTGTCGGGCATAAGAAGAGCAAGATTGACACCTTTTACATCACCATGGATGAGCATCTCATTACATGCCAGGCGAGTGGCTCGCTTGGGGCATTTGATGAACTTTTCAAAGCACATTTTGTGTTTAATTTGTCCCAAGATCATATAAAGCTGAAGTTGTTATTTGCAGTGCAGTGGAAGAAGACATATCTGTCTTTTGCCAAACTGTTTGGCAAAAGAGTTTTCAACTTTTGGTTGAAGATGACATTTTTTATGGGAAACAAGTTGTTTACATAGTGTTTCGATAACCATCTATATGCATTCAGAGTTGTACCTACCTTGGAGAGATGGTAGGTACAATGTGAAAATGTCAGATCTAAAGTTTTATAAACCTTTTGATTTGCAAAGGTCATACAGTGTTTCAGATTTGACAGTGTACATTGTACATTTATTTTTTGACGACAAAATAAATGTCCTTTTGGGGAAAATGTGTTGTGTGCGATGTAATTCTTTCTCAGAGTTTAATTTTAACACTTTTCAGTGTAGAAAGCCTGACAGTATAGGGAGTGAAGCCAACACTAACCAGATGGTTAAAAATTGTATCTCAGCAGAGTCACTTCAGTCTCTAAAGTGTTATTTTAACTGTGTTTTTAGAGTTAAAACATGAACTCTGGCACAGTGTTAAATATTTTAACTATTTTAAAAATGTGGATTTAATTCTAAAGAGTGTGGAGCTATGTAAACCCTGAAAAAGTGTTGAAAATGATTCTGTGGGAGTTCATTTAACACTGGTCTTTGTGCTTTGAAGAGATGAAATATTTAAGATTTCCTGATCTTAAATGTGTGTGATAACAGTCTCGTCTTCTGTTATACACATATACATATATTAGACATTTTATTGTGCACCTCAAATGACAGCTGATGAAGATTTACTGGCAATATTTATATTTACAGAAGCAAATTCTCTGTTTAACATGTTTTGTGTATGTACATAGTTAAGATGTTTCAATTCAGGGCGATCTGTATACCTCTGTATATAGTACACTGAGTCTTCGATTGACTGATAGATTGATTATTCAATATTAATCTCTGCATTTATGGGCGTTACACTACACATGTAGCCTTTGGTCAAGATCCGGATACGGTGGTGACATTCTTCTTGCCTTCATTAAATCTATTATTTATATTTAAAACAATTTTATATTTAATATATATTCACGTTCATATTCTATTATAGGCATACCAGTGACGTAACGAGGCCTTGTCGGTCACGTGGTTTTGACGCGTCGGACTTGGCTCGATACATTTTGCTACAAGCAGCTACTCTTTTCTTGGATCTGTAGCCGCTCGTGTTGCTTGTTTCGTCCAAACAGCGCACAAAATATCATGGAAGGCAGGGGTTACGGCTCTGGTAAATATAATCTGCTTAGCTTTTGTTTCACATTTGGCCATAGATATTGATAGTTACCCAGTTAGCCACATGCTTTGTTCCCCTGAAACATGACCAGTTTGTTAGCCGTTAGCTAAGCTAATGCCGTTTAAAAAACAACAAAAAAACTCCCCAGCATAAGAGCCAGCCTTTAGCCGGTTGCAGCCTGAAACAAAGACCTAGCTAAACAGTAGTCGTGTTGTATTTTCTTACCAGTTATTACAAAATCTGCCAAGTACCAGTAGGTTTGTTTTAGCGAAAATTTAAAAAAAAAAATCGTCAGCGTTACGCTAGGCCCATCGGCCACGATTAATGAAACACTGCTAGCTACGCGGCCCATCTCGCTGTCGGGCAGATTGTTTGCTAGCGATGCTAACGCAGACGACTTTATGGGTCTTTGGCGGTTTGTCACTTGCTCTGCCAAAGTTCGTTAGCTTATTCTTTTAAAATGGAGTCAATGTCGGAATAGTTTAAAGGCTAGCTGATAAAATGGCCGCCTCTGAGAAGATGCCTCTAAGTCTTTGGATTTAATTGCTTTTCCTTTCTGAACTGCACAACTCGCTAGCTGAATATCTATTAAGACAGAAAACTTGCAAATCAATTGTCAAATGGTTATAGTTTAAATAAATATACGGCCAGTTTTTGTTTCATTTTACTCTTAAGTGCAGTGGATTCCACCTTCCTATGCTTTTGAACGATTTGCGCTATTGAACAGCTCCTTGTAATAAATCCGCACATGCTTGTGGACCTGTTAGTATAAAATTCCCAGCGCGTTTGTGTTATCAGTCCATATTCTTTCCTTTTGTAGGTTACTCCAGTTGGGGAGGTGGAGGTTCTGGAAGCAGAGGTAAGTTGGTACACTCAGCCCTGAATTACTGCTATTCATGAAGCAAGTAAGTAGTGCATGTTTATTCTGTTTAATTAATTTGTTTCCTCACAGGGAGTGTGTTATTCTTTTTGCCCCACCCCCTTTACTAGGTTCTGGTGGTTTCGATATGCACGGGGGAGGTTATAAGGATTCCATGTCTGGACTCGGAGGCTATGGAGGTGGCAGCGGCCACATGAAAAGAGGGCTCTCGGGAGCATCTCTGCTCTCATCGACGGGCACCCATGCAGATGCAGTCATTGCTAAGATTAACCAGCGCTTGGACATGCTCACTCAGTTGGAGGGGGGGTTTAAAGGGGGTCGGAGTGACAGGTAACAGTACTTTCCTTTTTATGCTTCATACCATCTTTCTTGGTAGGGTACCATTCCCACACATTCATGCACCTGAATGTGTGCCAAATTTGCATAACAAATTTGGCCCTCTGGTTGCTTGAGCACATCGTTTCTTAGTGTCACGTCATGGCTGGCTGATGTCAAGTTACCACTTTGTTCTACAGTTGTCTCAGTAAATGCTTAGGCCTTCTAATAGTCGTTCTAACTTTAAAGTCAAGCATTAGGACCAATTCACACCTGGCTGCCCTCCTAGCTTGCGATTCTCCACTGATTCTGAAGAACAATTATTCACAGTGGTAGGGGGTAAAAAAAACGAAGGTATTCCACTGTTTGCAGAGACTTGGAGAGTTGATATCCTTTGGAAATTGTTGAGGTTGCACCAGTAAATTGTGCTGTTTTAGTCTTTGTTACGGCATTACTGTTTGCACTCAATCCTTGTTGGAAACATGTTGCCTCAATTCCTGCTTGATGAGAAGATCGTATCGTCCAGGCTGCATTTGAATGCCTCAGCATCTGAGGAAGCATTGTTTGCTCCCATTTGCTATGCTGCAGTATCCCTCATTTATTGAGAAGAAAATGATGATGTGATCCTTTAAACCAAAGACATTGTGACATGCATGGTCCCCTGTTGGAGGTGCAGTTACAGACCAGCTTTTCCATTTGTTACAAACTGACATTGTTGCATATAAAGCCAATCCATCTTTATTTAAAACTCTGAGCATTGCTTTTGTCCCGGCTTTGTGTTTGTGTTTACACACGTTGTTTCTCTCATCCTCTGTGTGACCTAACCCTGTCTTCTGGCTTTAGGTTACTGAAGAGAGATGGGTTTACAGGTGCCCTGATAATGCCTTGTTAAGCTGAAATGTTTATTGAAGGATGCTCAATGTATTTACAGAAACACAATCTCCCCTTGAAAAATGCCCAGTATATATGTTTTGGTTTTTTTTTTTTTTTTGTATATAAACCCCTTTTCTTCAGTATTTATTGTAATTGAGTCAGTTCCCAGGACACTTTACTTCTTGTAAGAGGCGTCATTGGTTCTGATGGACCATGTTCATGTCTGTTCAGGGTTTTACAGCCCATCCTTTAAAAAGGAGGGAGGCTTAAAAAATTAACTGCATTTCCCTAATCTGCAGTAGACTTGAGATTTTAAAAACAAAAGGAATAACTTTTCAATGTACCACAAGCACAGTGTTTAAGTTGTTGTGGATCATTAATTTTTGATCTAATTTGTTTTCTGAAATGAAGCTGGGAGTGACAAGAAAACATGGAGAAAGCGAGACCACAGAGGAGAAGGAATAGCAGGTGGAGAAATCCAAACCTGGCTGCCCCTCTGCCTCCCTTGCTCTCTGCTCTTCTCTACCAACCCTCTTCCTCCCTCCTGCAGGTTTGACCAGTACGAGTCATTCGACTCGCGCTCCTCCGCTTTTGCCTCCTCCCGAGATCTCTACAGATCTGGCGGCGGTAGCTATGGTTTTGGTGATGGCCGGGAGGACAGCATGCTGTTGAGTCAGCGAGGAGGCCAGGGCTTCGGAGGGGGACTTGGGCTAGGAGGAGGAGGAGGCTTTGACAGCCCCTCCTCTTCCTATGGAGTCGCTAAAATGCGACAGAATATGAGGGAGTCCTTCACCAGTCCCCAAGGAGGAGGTTCTGGAGGTGGAGGATGGGCTGGAGCAGGCCGACGTTCCCCCAGAAGGGGTGGAAGCGCCGGGGGTCGAGGAGCTACTGGAGGGTTTGGAAGCCGCAGGTCAGACCCCACTCCATTAAGCGGAGGTTTGCGGGGAAGTGGTAGCGGTGGCCAGTCCCACCGTGGCCACTCTCCAGGAGGTGGTAGAGGAAAGCTCCCTTCCCTCCTGTCCAACCGCATGTACCCTGAGAGTGGGGGCTTCCAGGGTTCTTCTCAAGGGCCTCACGACTTTCCTGGGAGGCATTTTGGAGGGGGCCCACGGGCTGGCCGGCAGCGAGGCCGCAAGAGACCCCTTAACAAAGTAAGTACCTCCAGCCAAATAAGACCTCCTCAGATACCTGGAAAAAGTTAAGCCCTTTCTAATTCCCTCCTTTTGTATTCTCAGTCAACTGGCAAGTCTTGCTAAACTGCCTGTGCCTGCTATTTGCTACCTAAAGCAGTTTGTCACAGATAGTGCCCAACACATATTTGCAGTATCACTTGCCCTTCTAGTTCCAGAAGAAAGTAACTGCCCTGCATCCACAGCAAAGACAAATCCCACATCTCCCCACACAATGCATTGCCCTGATAACTGTCCGGATGTTGATTTTTTTATTTTTTTTATTTTTTTGCATTAAGTAGCTTAGATAGATTTTTCCTTTTTCTTTCCTTTGCCCCAATTGTGGCTTGTCTTAAGATGAGGCTAACACTATTGATGTGGAAATGCCACCAGGAGAATATGAACATTGCCAAACATTAAGTCTAGCATCTATTAGTGTTTAATTCTAAGTTGAAGGTGTATTGTCCAGGTTTGTATTTATTTTTATTATCACTAAATGCATTTGTGTGCAAACTGATTTCTGTGTACTGTAGCAGGTGAAGCCACAGCGGGATATTCAGAAGAAAAGAAAGCAGACCCCGACATCAGGTGATGAGCCAGAGTCGAAGATGAACAAGACGGACAGCGCCGAGTCAGAGGCTACGCAAGGTACTGTTTTTGTCGACTGTGTGGTATTCTCAAAAGACCTCTTTACTTGGCAGATATTTTGGTGTCTTATTCTTGGTCTTATGTGTGTGCTCCGTGTTCTTAGAGCAACCAGAGAAAAATGGCGATGGTGGTGAGCCAAAGACAACAGCTGCTGCGGTTAGTGGATCAGCCTTTGACAGCTCAGTCTTTTGTCAACAGTGGTATTTTAAAGGTTTATTGTATTACTTTAGGATCTAATTAACTTTCCCCTGGAACTTGCTTTAAGCAACCGGTGTACAGTTTCAGATGGAAATAATAATTTAAATGCAAATGAGGATGAGAATGTGGTTTTACAAAACAGGCTAAACGCGATGTTCTTTTTTCCTTCATGATCAACCAGTGTCACAGATTTGAGTTGAATACGTGTTGCGAATATTTATGACAGCATGACTACATTCAGCAATACACATCTGTTCAGATGATGGAGCTATTTTTGACTCTTTTTTTATTTTATTTCTTTGAGTAATGAAATATTTTTCTTTGCAGGAGACAAAACCTGCTGAAGAAGGTGATAAAGGTAAGCTTAACTCCAGTGACTCCTCACTGATATTCTTTTTTTTATTTTGGGTTAACTGAAGATTGTGGAAACCCAGCATTGGTTTTTGGGTTTGTTCTTTGCGTACAGAGGTTTCTCCAGATTCTCTGAATCTTTTGATATTGTGTTTCATTATTTCTTTAATTATTTATATACAGTTAAATAATTTATTCACAATTTACTCTTTTTTTGTTTGTTTTGTTTTGTTTTTGTTTTTTTGTGTTTTTTTTTTTTTTTTTTTTTTTTGTTTGTGTGTTTTTCATTGGGGTTGTTCATATACGTATCTTCTGCACTTTTGCTCCTGATTAGCTGCGTCCAAACTGGAAGAGAAGAAAAAGCCACAGGGCAAACAGACACCGGCCCAGGGTCAGGACAGACACCCAAAAATGAGGAAGAGACGAGGATTCCTGGAAAGGTGAATTTACAAACTCCTAGAAAGTTCTTTCAACTCTCATTTGCTGTTTTTTGTTTTCAATCTCACCCGTGGCTCTTTCTGATGGGCTTTTTTGACTAGACTTTAAATATTTTTCCAGGGTGATGTTTGCATGTTCTGTGTGCAAGTTCCGTTCGTTCTACAAGGAAGAAATGGAGGCTCATCTTGAGAGTCGCTTCCACAAGGACCACTTTAAGTTCCTTTCCAGCCAGTTGTCCAAGCCCACTACAGACTTTTTGCAGGTAACTCAAATTTATTGGAAGTCATATTTATGATTAATGAAGATGAAGAACCGAAACTGAAGAAACTTGCCAATCATAGGCTTTTAGAAATGTTACATTTCTGAGCCAAATTTCAGGGAAGTGCTTGTTGTAAATATACTAAAACAATTTGAAGTGTGGTTAAATGGAAAAACATTTCTGGTTGAATGTGCTGAAATATTTATGCAGTGATCTTCCAGAGCCGACGTGTGATTTATACATGTATGCAAGAGTAAAGATATTGGGCGAGGTAAACGTTTCATGAACTTTAAACTGAAAAAAAAAACCTTTCCTTTGTAGGAGTATTTGCAGAATAAGTTTAAGAAGACAGAGGAGAGGGTGAGCCAGCTGGAGAACCACAGTGCTGCAATCTGCCAGGTGTACAAAGAGCAGGACCTCACCAGGGGTAAGCAGAAACTCCTGCTGTGTGTTGAACTGAAGATGCGCATGGATTTCTCACTACAGATATTTCTCTCACGCTTGTACAGAGCTTGGAATGGAGCACTTTATGAGGAAGGTGGAAGCTGCTCACTGTGCAGCATGTGACCTTTTCATTCCCATGCAGCCCCACCTGATACAGAAACACATCAAGTCTCCTGACCACAACTACAACCGCAAGGTACAGCAGGTCTTCTGCAAATGGACTGCCCCACAAGCCTATATGTTTAAAAGGACAATGCTACATTCAAATCAGTGCACTTTTATTATTAGCGCCGTCTTTCGGGTAATGGTTTAGATGATCATCGTTATTATTTTGGTGCGGCTTGTCTGGTTCTGGAGATATCGGCGGTATAAATGGATCTAAATAGCACACAGTGCATCCAAAAATAATAATAATTTCAGCATCATTGAGAAAGTCCACAAATGTTGTTGTGACCAGTTTCATGTAGTAACTGTTTTCTTCCAACTACACCGTCCTGTCATTCTGCAGAATGTGTTTCATTTAATTGGCAGATGTAGTCAGTAGAAGAAAATGATTTGTATATGAAGCTGCTCACACAGCAATGTTTGTAGGCTGCGTGAAACTGGGTCATGATTTCTGTAGAGACATTGCTGCTGACCTTTTCACTTAAGCACTGAAGGCCAGGGGTTGGCTAATATTGATTCTGCCTTATCAGAAAACATTTACAACTTCAGACTGTCAGAGGATGGGGTAACAGTTTGTCCCATCGTCAAAGGAGCTTGCAAAGAAAAGTGTCTGGACTTCTTTAAGTTACTTGAAGACAAGTATCTTCAAGTAACTTAAAGAAGTCCAGACACTTTTTTTTGCAAGCTCCTTTGACTACGATGACCTGGATGACTGAGAACCTTCACAGACAGTTTGTCCCATCCACTCCCTGTTTGTGCAGTGCCTTTTTTTTTTATTTTTTTTTTTTATAATGCAGTAACTCTGCAAAGTCCTCCACTGATGTTACAAATGGTGCCACAGAGCTGAGGCTATTGTTTAGAATGTTTTGTTCTGACATGGAAATGTTGTTTATTTGAAGGGTATGATGGAGCAGTCCAAGCGGGCCAGTCTGTCAGTTGCTCGAAGCATCCTTAACCACAAACTCATTGGCAAGAAGCTGGAGAGCTACCTCAAGGTATGCACAGAGTCCTGTGTGGGCTTGGATCAGAAATAAATGTGATTATAAATATGCACCAACTACATGTATGTATGTATGTATGTATGTATTTATTTATTTATTTATTTGTAAACAAAAAGAACAAAAGACCAGCCGTGTCAGTAAATGCACTGTTAAGAAAAAAGGGAACTTATACTTGGAAAAAATCTGATTAATAATATAACACTTTGGAGGTTTGCATCAGCAATATGGGTTGTAGTGTGCAGAAACTGTCTGATGCAAAGATACATAACTGACCATGAGTGCAGTGGGTCAAAATGTCATTATTTTTCTCAATTCTTTTATTTCGTCAGGGTGAAAACCCGTTCACTGGTAACCAAGATGAACAGGATCCAGAAGACAGCATGGCAATGGACGTATCGGAGTTGGAGGTTACAGGCGAAGCGGCAGAGAGCCAGGCGGAAGGAGAACCTGCCAAAGATGAGCCTGCTCCTGAGGGGGAGATTAGCAAAGAGGTGGTCGAAGGAGAAGCAGGAGAGACTGCTGAAGCAGCAGCAGCAGCATCAGAAGAAGCAGCACCAGCAGCAGCAGCAGCAGCAGGCACGGAAGAAGAAGAGGAGGAGGAAGAAAAGATGGAGGAGGAGCAGGGGAACCAGAATGAGGAGAACCAGGATGAAGAGGAAGGTTTTGAAATTGGGGAGGAAGAGGATGAGGGATATGTGGTTCATGATGAGATTGGTGAAGAGGGATTACACGGTGACTTGGGAGATGAAGGATTGGAGGCAGCAGTGCACGAAGAGGAAGATGCCAATGATCATGAATGATTTCTGCTCTGTGTGAGAGAGTAACCTTTCCATCTGAACATCTGTTTGGACCAGTCTATGACCTGTACTGTCCAGTTTGACTGCCACATGTATTGTGGATTACATATACCTGCTCCCGTCATGTTTCACTGTCAGTCTGAGCTTGTTGTTTGAGTTTGGTAAAAAGCAGTTGCACATTTTGTCTACTGCTCTTCTTCTTCACTTTCTTGCAGAGATTTACATGAAAGCAAATGTCAAAAATAGTAACTCTTGTCTTCTGCATGCATACAAAGTCTTGACAAAGTTAGGGGTAGACTTCTTTTTAAATATCAGAGTAGACCGGACGTGTGGTTTACCCTTCCTCAGTCTCAATGCTGAACTGATCTGTTCCCAGGAATAGCTTTGTACTCGGTGCAGACATGAGAGGCATTGTTGGACTTTTCATTTCAACATTGGCAAGAAGACACATGAGCATATTTATGAAAACGTCAAAGTAATTTTTTTTGTTGTTGTTGTTGTGCCTTTTTGTTAAAATGTAAGTTGTTTAGAATTAAGAAATTGCGGCTATTGTAACATTGAGATATATTGTGTACTTTTTTTTGGGGGGGGGGGTCCAGAGTTTACACATTGTTATGGCTTTCAGGCCTTTCCCAGTATTGATGAATGACTGTTTTCCAAGCTTTTGGATAAATCTATTAGGAGGAGGACTTTTTAACTCTGCAGGTGGGGCTGCCTGAGATGATTGAGGGGACTGTTTGTAGGATAAGCGTGCAACATTTTGAATATCATTCGGAATATTTTCAGTCATTTTAGTTTCATCTCGGTCTGGGAAAGAAATAAACTCGTTGACTAAATCAGTTTCTTTGTGTTAATTCCTAAATACAAGTGAAATTAACTTAGTGGCTGCTTAAAAGGTGCCTTACTACTTTGTGGCATCGATTCAACGAGGTGCTGGAAACGCTGCTCATGGATTTTTGATTCATAATGATGATGGCAGCTGAATCTCCTGTTACATCACAGCCCTAAGGTGCTCTATTGGATTGAGATATGGTGGCTGTTGAGGTGATTTGAGTACAGAGAGCTCAGTATTATGTTTGAGAAAGTGTGCCAAAAAAATTACCCTGACACTATAATACCACCAGCCTCCTGAAGCATTGAGAAAAGGCAGGATGGATCTGTGCTTTCATGTGGTTTACACCAAACTCCGAGCCTGTCGAAATATCACAGCAGCAATCCGCTCATCAGACCAACAATATTTTTCCAATATTTTTTGTTGATTTATCCTGTGCAAACTGTGACCTCAGTTTCCTGTTCTTAGTTGACAGGAGTTGCATCTGATGTGGTCTTCTGAATAGAAAAGAATCGCTCCGTCTTTTCCTACATGTCTTTATTACAAAAACAATGAAACACAGTTTGCAATCTCTCCGTTGTTTGTAATACACAATAACACAGGCATTTACATTTACACAAGAAAGATATGTACAAGTCAGTGCTGCTAGTGTAGTTCAACATTTAACATGTTACACATTCAGAGATGCTCTTCTGCACATGCCGTAAACATCTAACCTCAACAAGGCAGTTTTTCACAGAGAGCTGCCACTCACTGGATATTTTCTGTTTCAGAGCATCCTTTGTAAACACTCGATGGCTGTGCGGGAAAAACCAGACCATCAGCAATGCCCGTCTAGCATTAACAACCATTCCACGTTCAAAGTCACTGAAGTTTGGATTTCAGCAGGTCGTCTTGGCCATGTCTACATGTCCAAATGCACTGAGATATTGCCGTATGGTTAGTTGATGAGATATTTGTGTTAACAAGCTGGTGAACAAACATACTTAATGAAGTGGCCAGTAAGTTTGAATTGGAGAAGGACTGCATGTGTAGACCTTTAACGTAAACTGAGCAGGGTATCAAAAGCAAATCATCTAGCAACCAGACTTATCACATTTGTGATGTGTACATATTCACTGCTAATTTTGCACATTTTGATGCAGACTGTTGACCACACAATTCTGATAACCTGTGGCAGAGGTTGTTTTGATACTGTGCTTTAATTTAACACCATCCCAACCACTAGGTGGTGTACCTACTCCCTCCCACCCAAGCACTGATAACAGTTTTCATAAACATGAGTGGTATAATATCTTCTAGGACACAGGAAAAGGCTGAAAAAGCACAATTTACCGCCATTATCTCCATCAGTATTCAGCTGGATTGACATCTTCACGACTTTCACACTTACCAAACAGTAGAATGAGCCCTCATGCCACTCACACAGCATTACATCTGGAAGACACCGCTCCCATCAAGATCTAAACATCTAATTACGTACAACAACCATGCTCACACGGGCCTGAGATCAAATCGGGCAATAAAAGGTTATTTGCAATAGGTCGATAAGCCGTATAACAAATTGTCAAGTTTTAGAAATGCTTTTAACTTTCGTTATGTTCTCTATAGTTTGTAGAAAACGTATTTACAGAGGAAACAGATGGCAGCTGGGTGGCCTACGTGCCGTCCGTGCCGTGCACATTTAAGCTGTCAGCTTGTTTTCTACTAAATAAAAACACGTTTTAGTGTACGCGCACTTTTTACTCGGTTATATATTTAAACCCACTCGTTTAGTAAAGTGAACACCGACCTGTCTCCTGACTGAAACGATTACAAGCTATTGCGTGATGTTAACCCAGGAGAGAGGGGAGGAGTTGTAGGTGACATTTGTTGGCCTGCCCCCCGTGCGTCTGACGTCATTGACGTGAAACGGGACTGTTTGTTCTGGATTTGGGGCGAGGAAGGTCTGTGAACGCTGACAACCGACTGAAGAAGGTAAAAATATCATTTTTCGCCTTCGTGTGGCTTACGTTCGTACATCAAACGAAAGCTTACGACCCCGGGGATCAGATAAAACGCTTACAGCGGGCATCGGTGGCGTATTTCCCGCGCGCTCAGTGAGCGCTTCGGGAAGCGGAGCATGAGCTGTCTTCGCAAGGCCTTGCACCGGTTCGGGCACGCGATATAGCTCATTTTTTAGCTTTTAGGCGCGAGCGACTTGGTGTTGTTGTACATATTCTGCGTTGTGTCTTTCTCCTTTTAACGCTCGCGTAAAGGTCGTTTTTGTAGCAGCGGGCGCTGTCTGTTGTCAGTGTGCACGTTAGCTACATGTCGCTAACATGCTAGTGAGCTAGCTGCTAGGCTGTTTGTTTGTAGCCCCGTAGGCCGTATTCGTGACACAAGTTACGTTCTCTTGGTAGCGTAGTAAAGGCGCTATGGCGCAGAAGCTCATGTGAAATGTGACGTACGTCATTTCGAGAATATCAATCCCGTCAAAGTTGTATTCTGAAACGCAGTTTACGTGCGCAGCTGTCACTTGAGCATAGTGGAAATGGCGATGGGCAGACATGGAAGGTTAGCAAAGGAAAAGCTGAAGAGTAAAGTTGTTTTGCAACAAATTGGGTCGTTTTTATGACCCGGTTACCGGTAGATACTAAGTAGTAGCAGTATGTGATACCTTTCGCAGTATCGTTACGTCTAGTGGCTTTATTGATAGAATATTTGATTTGTTGTTGATCAGATTACCTGCGACACTGCTGCGTTCTTAACGTGCTGTGTATGTTGTGTGTAATTGTATGCAGTTACGTAGTTTGGAGAATGACTTGGTCTTTCGTGTATTTTCCCGCAATATTTATTTATTTTGTCTCAAGCACTCGCTGCAGTGCTAACTGCTGCCCAGTTAGCATTATTATGCATATATTACACGTCTATATTCATTGATAAGATAGTTATCAACATGCAACCCACTTAACTGGTAAATGTAGGGAACAATTATTCACTTAATGTTTGTTTTTGTTTTTTTAACTAATGACGGATCTGTAGCTGGAATATGGATCTGTAACGGGTAACAGGCATAGAAAGAGATGTAAATAAAGCTTTCTGTCTTTAGTAGAAGAAACTGTCAGGGTGTTAATAAACTAAATGTTAGCTGTTGTCTCTGATTCATTCATTTTGTCTCACTGAGAAATTCCTTTGACCTTTGATCTCAAGGGGTACCAAAGGTCATCTGAAGCATGCCAAGGTTGTAGGTCAGGCAGAGTTCAGTTTTAATACAAAAGAGTACCATATTAGCTCCTGTAACCTAATTTGTTCTAAGTTTGCTGTACATAAACAGCAGCACAAAAGACCTATGAAAACATGCATATATAGGACGCCCCCCCTCCCCAAAATCCTGAGAATTAACTTGTTGTTGCAAACTGCTCCATGTACTAGATGTTGACTGGAATAAAGAAGAGTAATGTGCCTGTATTATCCAGATGATGCAGCTGTCTTGGGCTTTCAATTCTGTGTTTTGTGATGTGGAAGTGTTGTTTTCTATTGTGACAGTTTCAGTTTTAAAAAAGGGCAGTTTGCACGAACAAAATCCAACAAACTACATAAATTGACTCTAATTCAATTTGTTATCTCGGTCTCTCACAGGTGTGACACTCGACTCTCTGTGTGTTGTGGTTTTTGTGCTGCCGCAGCGTGTCACTAACAAACATCCCACATCACCCTGGGAAGTTGCCACCTCCCCAACTGAGATATGATCAGACAACTGCTTTAGACCACAGCTGCACAGCTACAAACATGTAAGTCCACCAAAAATAATTGGCCTTTGAGTTGAGAGAGTTTAATGATGAGTTTTTTCTGCAAGATAATTACCACAGTTTGGGGGGTTTTTTTCACCTGTGATTAGAAAGTAAATACACTTACATTGTATTTTCAGCTTTTAAAAAGTCGCCATTATCATAAAACCTTTCCTTCAATCAGACTTTACCAAGGCATTCTTAAACCTGAACCCCAGTTTTATCTTGCCTTGTGTATAGTTATTATTAATATTACAAAATTTCTGATATTACTAACAAAACCTGAGTCTTAAATAAGGTATGCATTTGAAGTTCTGCCTCATCCTGTTCTGTTCAGTCAATTCCTTCTGTAAATATTAGTGCATTTCTGTTGTTTTGCCTAAATTACAAATGCATGATTGATTTAAAAAAAAAAAATACTCCAAGCTATGGATTTGTTTTGTAGTCTTTGTGCTTTTAGGACAAGTAAATGCTCTGCATTGTTTGTGGATATTTTATAGCTGGTGAAGCATGTAATGTGTTTACACTTTCTGCTTCCATTTGATGGATCAGAAACTTTGCAGGTTAACAGTCATAACGGTATTTGATCTTAAGCAATGATTCAATATTTATTCCCAGATGCTTTAAACTAAGAGTTTGATGTTGATGTGGAATGCATGCTTTTTGTTTGTGCACATAAACACACGTTGAGTCCTCAGTGCCTGATCCCAGATTTCGCGCAGTAGTTTCAAGCACGTGATGACAAAATCAGATACTGAGTTTGAGTCACAGCTTAAAGAGCAGTGAACGTGTCAAAGATGAGATCTTTATTGTTGTCTTGAGCGGGGTGAAAAAGATTGACCCTTTGCCAAGTTGCCTCTCTTTCTCATGCAGAGACCTTTGGCGATGTACTGTAGAAGAAAATGCTCACACTGGGTTGTGGTCGTGGTTAGGGATGGGTATCGTTTAGGTTTTATCCGATACCAGTGCCAAACCGGTACTTTTGAAACGGTGCCGGTGCTTAAACGGTGCTCAAACCGGTGCTTAAAGAATGGAGAACATACACTTTGTCCAAAAACCTCTGATGTTTAGCTGTTTTTTTGTAAAAAGATAAACAATGTTAGCCTTTTCTGCAGCTATAGAGCATATATGGTATCACTCTTGGCTGGAAGCAGTGCTTAATCAATGGAAAAAACACCAATTTTGTCTAAAAAACCTCTCATGTTTAGCTGTTTTCCACTTTTTCTTTGGTCATTTT